ACACGGTTTTGTCTCTAATCTCAGGGGTCTTGGACCCTGGGGGGAATGCACCCTTGCTTTTTGCCCGGCCACGTTGTTCTGGGACGTGAGCGAGTGTGCGGCCTGGCCCTCGTTCCTGCCATGGGAACCCCCGCCACCAAGTCTCAGGCTCTGCCGGCCTCTGGCGAGTTCCTGTCCACGTGGCACCCTCCTAGCCAGGGCTCTATCCATCGCTCTGTGGCTGGTGACCTTGGCCTCTCCCTGAACCTCGCTGGGCCTTAGTCTTCTCATCAGGAAAATGGGGAAAAGGGCATTGCCACTCCCCAGGGTATTCGTGACAGTGACATGAGTTAAGACGTGTGAATTGCCTAGAGCAGAAGTTGGCAAACTCGGCGAGCTCCGAACTTGGTCCTCAGCCTGTTTTTGTACGTAAAGTTTTGCTGGCATGCAGGCACGCCCGCTCGTTTGTGGCCCTTTGCCCGGTACGGGGGTGGCGAGTGGTTGGACAGAGACCGAAATGCGAAGTCTACGCATTTTCCACCGGGCCCTTGCAGAACAGCGTCCGGCCGCTGGCTTAGAGCCACGCCAGGCCTGTGTCCCGGCTCTCAGTTTCCTCATCTCTGCAGTGGGGATGAGCGGCAGAGGGGGGCCTGGTCTCAGCTCCGGGGCTCCCTATGCACGGTGGCCTCAGCCGTGTGGAGGGCCGCGATGGGGCCGGAAGGGACATGGCCTTTTCTGCGCCTCCCCTGAGGGTCCCGGCGTGCGGAGCTCTAGGGAGTCTCAACACCAGCTCTTCCCATGTCTTGGGGGGACATGAGGCAGACCCAGTGTGACCCCGACACCCCCAGGCCCTGTGGGACCTGTGGGGGCTACGTGCGTGTGGGGGGACAGGGACCGTGAGGATGGCTCAGCCTCTGCTAGGCTCGAGCTGGGTGTGCAGGGGCAGTTGGCAGCCCCTGGGGCTGCAGTTGTCACAGGGAATAATGTGTCTTCTGTCCTCTGGTGCAGCTGCCGTGGGGGCAGGAAGGCAGTGGCCTGGAGCTCCTCCTGGGGCCTCCCCTGCCAGCAGCTGCCAGCTTGGCCTTGACAATGGCACGGGCGGGGGCTGGGTTCCACCCGCCCGTTAGGCCTGGGGCGGGGGTCTGGGGGTAGGGCAACCCCCGCCCGTGCTTGTGGGGGGCTCACGGCATTTCGAGCTCTGAGCCGCGTGCTCCGCACACATTAACTCCTTCAAGCCTCATGACAGGCGGGGAGGTGGGACTTGTCCTGTCGTGCGGATGAGGAGACTGAGGCTGGGAGCCACTGCAGGGTCTGCCTGAGGCCACAGGGCCGGGAGGCGGCGGGGCTTTGAGCTGAGGGCCGCGCGGGTGAGCGAGCGCTCATCAGTTTTAGCTGGTGGAACGAAGGAGCGGATAGATCACCCGGTAAAGGGCTCCCTGGTTTGTTTCACATGTTTCGAAAACAACTCTAGTAACATGGACGTGGCTCCACAGTGTAGCGGTGAGCTCGTCTGCTTTACACGCAGAAGGTCCTGGGTTTGTGTCCCAGGTGGAGCCACGGTCCGTGGTCTACGGCCTCGCCCCCCTGAACGAGCCCGGTGTCTGATCTCGGAAGCTAAGCAGGGTCGGGCCTGGTGAGTACTTAGATGGGAGACCGACTGCCTAGGAAGACCAGGTGCTGCAGGCATTAATAACAACAATAATCAATAATTTAAAGAAAAAGAAGGGGAAACTCTGCTCTCGCCGCTGCCCCGAGAACTCCCTTTTCCCCTCTGCACCCGATTCTCTTTGTTTCCCTGCGTGCGTGTCCATGCGCGTGTGTTTTTTGCAAAACCGAGTTTGCACCACTCATGATATTCTGCGACTTTGCTTGTTCGGACTGAGCATCAGGAATAAACCCCACGAGGGTCAGCTGGAGCCAGCCTGTGGGTGGAGGCCGAGGGCCTGGGGCCCGCTCTCGGGGAGTTGGGTCCGGTGGGAGGACACAGGGGGGATCGGTTCGATGGGGGAGGAGAGAGGCGTGTTATGGCGAAGGACGCTTTATGACTTGCGGGAGGATGGAGGGTCTGGCCTTTGCAGTGTGGGTCACGGGCGGGGACGGGCACACGGGCAGGAAGACAGGAAGGGCAAAGGCAGGGAGGTGGGCCCGTCACGGCCGATGTCCCAGGTGCCGGGGGCCTGACGTCGGGGCTGGAAACGTGGGGTGTGTGGCAGGGGCCAGCCGTGGTGGCCCCGTGCGGACCCCGTGTCCGTTTCTCTCCGCCCCAGGACCGTGGCCTGACGGGCAAGCTGGAGCCCGTGTCCCCTGCCAGCCCGCCACGCGCTGACCCTGACCTGGAGCTGTTGCCCCCGCGGCTCTCCAAGGAGGAGCTGATCCAGAGCATGGACCGTGTGGACCGCGAGATCACCATGGTCGAGCAGCAGATCTCCAAGCTGAAGAGGAAGCAGGTGCGGCGGGCCCCGGGGTGGTGGCCGCGTGCGCCCGGTCCCGCAGCCCGGGCCGGGGCGGTGACACTGGACGTGGCTGTTTTGTGCGTGCTGTCCTGCCTGGTGGGACTTTCTGTGTCGAAGGAAACGTTCTCGGGCTGCACCGTGGAGGCCACAGTGCGCCTCACACAGCTGGGGAATGGAGCCCTTGACGTTGATTAGAATTCAGTGGGATGGACACTGGAATTAGCCACACGGCTGCCGGGCGATTCAGCGCGGGGACAGGCTGTAGAGCTGGGCTGTAGAGCCGGGCTGTCTAGGGCGATTCAGCGCGGGGACGGGCTGTAGAGCCGGGCTGTGTAGGGTCCGGTCTCTCTCCGGCCACCTCCCGGCGAAGTGGGCTGGGCCGGTGCTCCTCGGCACCTCAGTCTCCTCATCCGTGCTGTGGGGGGAGACCGCCTGGCTCTGGAGTGTGGAGGGGCTGAGCCCCCTGGCTCTGCCTCAGCTCCCTTGTCTGGAAGATGAGCACAGACACGCCGACCCCCATAGGGCTGGGAGCAGGGAGCGGGCAGCCTGGGTCGCATGGCGAAAATGAAACCTTGTGGCTGTCAAAACCAACGGAGACGTTAACGCAAATATATACAATGTTAATTTTATAACATCAGTTTTAATATTGATTGGTAAAAGTCATCGATCGATAGTCTGCCCCTTCCCAGTCCTTCGCACGCGTCCCCTCCCTGACATCTCCGGGTCTCTGCTCAGGTGTCCGCAGCACAGACAGCCCCGCTTCCCCGCCTTAACGTGGGAGCCCTAACTCCAGACACCCTCTAACCTGAGGCCCGGGAAGCCCAGCTCGGTGCCTGCTTTTGTAAATAAAGCTTTATTGGCACACGGTTACATTTGTTTGCTTATGTATTGTCTGCGGCTGCTCTGCAGGTGTAGTGGCAGAGTTGAGTGGTCACCACAGAGACCACGTGCCGGCAGAGCCCGAAATATTCCCTGTCTGGACCTTGACAGGGAAAGTTTGCTGCCCTCCCTGTGTGCTGTCACCACACGTGACGACGTCACTGTGTGACTCCACATGCATCCTGCTTCGTTAGGTCGTGGTCTGCCCCCCGACGTAAGAGCAGGGTTCTCGTCTTCTCGTCTCCCCGTCACGGCTGTGTGCTGAGCAGTGCCGACGCGCAGCAGGTGCTCCCTGACAGCTGTCGGTGGGGTCGGTGTGGCATGCTCCTGACACTGGGTTGTGGCTGGGAACAGGGTCGCACCTGGTCCTCTCCAGGTGAGGAAGTGTGGACTCCATGGAGGATCGAGGGCCACCACGGGCAGTGGAGTGAAGGCTGGTGACAGGCGACCTGGAGGCTGTTCGGGACCCAACGAGCAGGGCCAGGGGCGGGGTGGTACCAATCCCATGAGGGCATCTGGGCTGTCCTTGGCCTGGAGGACTGGGACTTGGGGATGGCCCGGCAGCTGGGTCGGTCAGTGAGGCTCAGCATTAGATTTCAACATTAAATTTAAAATGTTGGCATTTTTCTTGGAGCTAAAATTCACAAGACAGAAAAGCACTCCCTTTAAACAACGGTTCTGTGGCGTTTAGCACATTCACAGTATTGTGCAGCCACCCCCCTGTCTGGTTCTAAGACGTTTTCATCGCCCCCTAAGGAGACCCCAGACCCGTGAGCCGTCGCTCCCCACTCTCCCTCCCCGCCGGCCACCCATCCGCTTCCCCATCTGGACGCGTCCTGTCAACGGAATCCCGCCGCACGTGGCCTTTTGCGTCCTTCTTTCACGGAGCGGCGTGTCTTCAGGGTTCCTCCACACCAACGTCAGCCCTTTCGGTCCTTCCGGCCGAGTCACGCTGCATCGTGTGGGGGGCCCGCATTTCGTTTCCCAGCCATCCTCTCGGGGACACTGGGTCGCGCCCGCCTCTCGGCCGCTGTGGCTCTGCTGCTGCGAGCGTTCGTGTTCCCACTTGTGTTTGAGCGCCGCCTTCGGCCCGGCCTGGGACAGACCGCCGGACCTCGGGGATGGCGGCTTCCGTCGCAGACCACCTCGCTAAAGCGAGTGTCGCAGGAGGACGAGTCACTCGGACTTTCCGGTAAAGGTCACGCTCTCACCGTACGGCAGTCTGCTGGGTGTGGCGACGGTGTCCATGCCCTAATCCAAAAACACTTGATGGGTAAAAAATGCTCGTCATTATCCGAGGCTTCAGCGACGTGTGATCTTTTTGGCGCCTGTGGGCTCGCTTGATGCGGGGTTGCCACAGACCTTCGGTGTGTAAAGCCAGCTCTGCGAGGCGCAGTGAGTGAGGTGTGTAGGGTGCGTAGATGCGTTGGCGTCTGCCTGGGAGCAGGGCCACTGGCTCACAGGGTGACACCGTTTCGCTTTGTGAGGAACTGCCAGGTACGAGGCTGCACCATTTTGCATTCCCATCTGCAGTGCAGACGCTGAGGGTCAGAGAGGCTGAGTGATTTGCTTGAGGCCACAGAGCTGGGGAGCTGGGGAGCTGGGGAGCAGTCTCTGGGACCCCTCGGGAGGCCACCTTCTTGATGGGTGGGACGCTCGGCTGACCCTTTCAGGCCTGATTTCGGTGCTTTTCCAGAAGCCACCACAGGGGGCACTGCGGGGCTGAGGCAGCTCAGCTCCACCGGCCAGGTCTCTGTGCCTGCAGGAACCAGGACTGGATTTCCTGGTGTGTTCTGTGTTGCGCTCTCCTTGGCCACGTTTTTAGGTTCATGATGATTTGCTCCAAGGTCATGGGCAGGCTGTGTGAGCATTACAAGCACAGAGCAGTATCTGATCTCACTCAAGATGCCGGATTGCATGTCAGTGCATTGGCCTCCTGTGTGACCTTGGGCTTAAGCTCTCTGGTCTTTACGGTCCCTTTTTGGCATAAAGTCTTAAGCTCTCTGGTCTTTACGGTCCCTTTTTGGCATAAAGTCTTAAGCTCTCTGGTCTTTACGGTCCCTTTTTGGCATAAAGCAGGCAGCGGCACGAAGGGAAGTCTCGTACGGTCTTTAGAGGAAGGTTTCCCGAATGAAGACCACAGGGCAGATGACCGTGATAACGGCGATGGTGATGAAAAGCTGCTTGTCAGGCGCTGCGTCACACATCAGCTCGTGTAATCTCCCCGCCGGCTCTCACGTGGAGAAGCGTCCATCACCCCCACGTTCCGATGAGGGAAGCGAGGCTCGGGGAAGTTTAGCAGCTTCCCGAGGTTTCACAGCAGGGAATGGTAGGACTAGGGTTCCAGTCTGGACAGCCTGGCTCCCGAGTCCACACGGCCCCTCCTGAGGACGATGGTACCCGTGATGAAAGTGGTAGCAACAGCTGGCTTTGGCTCCCAGCCTGTGTGCACCAACTCGTCCGCTCCTCCCCGCAGCTGTATCCGGGAGGCACAGCAATGAGCCCCGTTTTACAGAAGAGGAAACTGAGGCACGGTGGGGTTGAGCTGCTCGCTTATACTCACCTAAGTCCCCACGGTGGGATTGAACCCAGGCAGGCTGGCTGCAGAGCCTGGAGGCCAGAGCTGGCCCCGGGCTGGGCCCTTCCCTGTGGAGGGATCTGGGGCCTCTCCAGGGCTCGGAGTTCCCGAGGGTGACTCAGAGGAAATGGTTAGCAGCCTGACTTCCTGTGCGCGGCCACCAGCCTGGGCCGCGTGGGGCCGCCCCTCCGCTGTGGGGGGGTGCCGCCTCTGCTCCTTCCGCCCGCTGTGCGCTCAACCCCACACTCTCCTCTTCCCACAGCAACAGCTGGAGGAGGAGGCCGCGAAGCCGCCCGAGCCCGAGAAGCCCGTGTCACCACCGCCCATCGAGTCAAAGCACCGCAGCCTGGTGCAGATCATCTACGACGAGAACCGGGTATGTGTGTCATCGTCCCCACCTTCTGCTCGCCCTGTGCTGGCTGCCAGGGTCGCCTGGAAGGGTCTGGCTCCTCCCCGGGCCTCAGCGCGTCTGCTTGTGAGACGGGGACCTTTGTCACCCGCCTGCACACACACACACAGACCCGTGTGCGGTGGGGACCCATCCTGGTGCGGCTGCAGCCCGTTCTGCTCAGACGTGGCGCTGGTGTGGACTGTGGCTGGCCTGCGGGATGCAGTATGAAAACGTGGGTGTCAGGTCATAGGGAAGCATCAAGGGCCCGCTGATCGGGGCGGGGGCAGTCACTTACGCACTCGTGCAGGAGTTCCTGTCACAGCGATGTTATTATTGTCAACAACAGCAGATGCTAATCGACCAGCTTCTCCTTTTCTCGTGATGGGCCCAGTTCTTTACAGGGTGGTCCCAGGAGGGAAGGTACATTACTTGCTCCCATTTCACACATGGGGAAACTGAGCCCCGGCGAGGTTAAGCGAGTTGTCCAGAGCCACAGCCTGGAAGTGGTGGGCCTGGGACGTGACCCTGTGGTCTGTCAGACCCCGGGGTCTGATTCGTCGGCACCGGCCTCCGCTGACGTTTGCTCCTGGAGGCGGCCTTAGGGTGGCTGGACACAGGGTGTAGAGCAGGCAGATCCGTGGAGGGCAGCTGCTGGGTGTCTGGGCGGGGCTCGGTCTTGTGGGAGGGGCTCAGGGTACTCTGAGCAGAATGTCTCCAGGGGCTGAACCCCGCGGGGGTCTGAGCTGTCCCGAAGGAGGTCCTGGTGTCTGGGAGGGCAGTGCGCTCCCCGTAATCCCAGTCAAACCACTGCGAGGTCGGCCTTGATGATCTATACTTGACTCTTTCTAAGTGTGCTCAAGGCCTGTGGCTGTTGGGTCTTCTCTCTGATGTTACAGATGAGGAAACTGAGGCCCAGAGAGGGACTGTTCTTTGTTCTTTGTCTGTCTGAGGTTACACAGTGAAGTGTGAATGGTGGGGGGCCTCTCTTCTCCCTGCCTTGGCTCCCCTGAACCTCCTCTTGCCACGGGCTCTGGCCACCTTTCCCAGCTGTCTCTGCTGTGGGATGCACCGTTGGCTGCTAGATCAGTGCTCAGAGTTTGGATGGGGGCCGGGGAGTACCCGGCGTCCTGGTGCCTGGAAACAGGTGGCTGGTGCCTGTGGGTGTAGCTCCAGGCAGGGAACTATTGGATCAACTAATTTGGCTACGCTTCCACCTCTTAAAGCAGCAATAGATGCAGGATGAGACTGAGCCTATTGGGAGCTGCATGGTGGGCCCTGTGGGGCTGGTCACCCACCCACACCCTGGTCCCCCATCCCAAGTAACATGTGACAATCCTAACAATAGGAGCGCTAAGGGGCCACATTGCTTTAGCCAGGCAGCCTTGTTCCAGATCCCACCTCTAGCCCTTTCTGGCTCCGTGACCTTGAGCACAGTACTTAAACCTAAACCTGTCTGTGACTCATGTTCCTAATCCACAAAATGATGATAATTATAGCACCTGCCTTGTCCAGCAGGGTGGGGTTCAATGACTTAGTACGTGGTACTCTAGTACTGAGTAAGGGCCAGTGTGCTCTTACTGTTGTACAGGTGCACTGCGTACATCACGCTCATCCTGTTCGTTCATTCGTTCGTTCATTCGTTCATTCATTCATTCGTTCGTTCAGCGGCCGTATGATTGAACACTTGCTCTGTGCCTACTACTGTTCCAGGCACTGGGGACACAGCAGTGACCTTGGCCCTAGCCCACTCATCTTCTTTATAGTGGGGGAGACATAATCACACCCGTAAGTGACCACCCATGGGCGCACCACTGATCTGAGGCATTTCGCCCTCCTCGTCCCCAGGTCCTCCTTTTGTCCTGCTGTTTGCCCCTCCCCCAGCCCGGCCGCTGGCCTCTGCTCTGCCCCGAACACCCAGCCGTGCTCCTGCCTCAGGGCCTTTGCCCCGGCCGAGGCCGCGCCCTCCGCCCACAGCTCCGTTCCCCGCGGGGCTGGGGCGCTCTCTGTCCTTCAGCTCTTTGCTCAAGTGACCCGATCTGACCCTCCCTGTAACCCCGCAAACCCTTCGACCCCCGTTTCTCGTCTTCCTGGTTGTCGTTCCCGCCCCCCCCCCATGCCTGCTGGACGTGGTTCGGTTTCGTTCGTTTGTCCCGTGTGTGGTGAGTGGACGTTCCGCGGGGCAGGTATCGTCTCTTTCCCGGGCTGTGTCCCCCACACCTAGAACCGGTTGTGCCTGACACATAATAGGAGCTCCGTGAATGTGTTTTGAACAAATGGGTGGGTGGCTTCCCTCTGGAACAGTCCTCGGCTTCGGGTCGTGGGGACTGGCCCCCGATCCTAGTGGAGGTCAGCGGGTCTGTGCCTGGGCTGAGCCTGGGCTGGAGGCTGGGTGGGCAGGGGCCCCTCAGCTGCCTTTGGCTGGAGCAGCCAGGACTTACCGCCCGTGGGGGATCAATAGGATTAAATTTTAATCCTCCTTCCTTCCCTGCCGGTTCCTCTGAGACGGTCTGTCTCTAAATGCTGCACTGGCTGCAAAACGCAGCTTCCCTGCTGGGCAGGGCCTGCCTGGCTTTTCTGCACAGTGGACTCGGGCTCATTATCCATTCGGGGAGCATGGACCAGGCGCCAGCACGCGGAGGGGAGCCAGCCAAGCCGGGCTTTTCCTGCCTCCCAGGAGTAGCCCACATGGATGGGGCCGGGCAGGTGCACACAGATGGCGGACAGGGGGCCGAGGGGTGGGAACAGGCGGGGGGTGGGAAAGGCTTCTCGGAAGCAGTGGGTGGGCCATTGTCCCCAGGAGGGCATTTGAGTGGGGGTCACGGCACAGGCCAAGGCTCAGAGAGGGGACAGGGGTCCCCTTTGATCTTCAAAGGGAGTGTGTGGGGGTGGGAGGTGGAAGGCCTGGAGGATGCTCACACTCTGAAACACACGTGAAGCACTAGTGAAGGATGTATGAATAAGGGACAGTGTGCCTGGTGCTCACATTCAGAGTTCACAGCAGTGGGCAGTCAAGGTAGACTTCCTGACAGAGGCAGGCCTTGAACTAGGTCTGCACACACAGAGGCGGAAGGACGTTTCCAACGACAGTGACGTGATTATTCGTGCACTAGTGCATCCATGCATGTGTGTGTCTGTGTCTGAGTGGGCCCGAGGGTGACTGTGCATGCCTGTGAATACGTGTGTGTGTGAGTCAGCACGTGTGAGGCGCACCTGTGGTTATGCGTGCATTTATACACCCATGTTGGCTGGCTGATGTGTGCAAATGCATGCGAGTGACTGTGTGCATGTGCTTGCAAATTCGCATGAGTAGGGCATGTGCGCGGTGTGCGTATACTTCATGCACATGCATAGGTTGACTTGAGTGCATGTGTGTATTATGCCTCGTGCATATGTTTGTGAATGCAGCATGCGTGCGAGTTGTTTGTGTGGCACATGCGTGTATGTGTATGTGCCTGTATGGGTGTAGGCACAGTATTTGGTCATGTGGGTCCCTGACGCTTCTGTGTACCTCCCTGGGCAGATGACTGAGGCCTTTTGCGCCCCGGGTGCAGTCACCAGGAGGCCTGGTCACACGGACCTTGGGGTCCCCTGCAGGAGCAGTGCAGTCTCTGGAGTGAGACCCTCCCGCCTGACCCCTGGGTGCCGGCTGAGAGCCCCTGCAGCTTGAGCTCCTGGGTCTGTCCCCTGGTTGCTGAGCAGGGCCGCTGTGGGAGGGGCTTCCCCAAGGCGGGGGGACACTGGGGGGCCCATGTGCCCTGGGACAAGTTGGGCTTGGATTCTCCAGGTGGCGAGAAGTTGTCAGCCGAGGGGTGAGAGGGAGTCGGGGTTTGGTCTGAGTGTGTGGCCCATACCCGTGTCCCCGGCCGTGCTCCTCTCCCGGGGTGTCTCGTCCCCACTTGGAGAGAATGTTAATGGGGTGCCGACACGCGGGCCATCCTGGCAGAAGCCCTGGGAGTGTGGTGTCCGGGGTGAGCGTGGCCATTTCGCAGCCAGGGGAACAAGGCTCAGATGGCAAAGCGACTTGCTGAGGGTTAGAGCAGAGCTGACCCCTGACGTCGGCCCCTGGGGGACAGATGTGGCCAGGAAGCCCTGCCTGCCTGAAGGAGGGGCCCAATCGGCAGGACACCCCCCCAGCTCCCCAGGTCACCCCTCCCCCGCCCCCTGCGAGCAGGACCCAAGCAGCTGGGGGCACAACGCTGTAGGGGGACCTGAGGAAGTGGGGTGCTGGTTCAGGCCGCGGGGAGCCCAGCCGTTCCCCGCTGCTGGAGCTGTGCACTCCGCCGGCTGCATGCCTGAGCCTCAGTTTCCCACGGGTCCAGGGGCTCCCGCCAGAAGCTGGTGCAGAGCCCGTGCTGCACGTGCGGGGCCACCTGGTGTGAGCCGCGGCCTTGTCAGTTGTCCACGGCAGTCACGACAACGGCCAGCCCTCAGCTTGCACCAGGGCTTGATGATGGAGCCTTAACGTGCCAGTGACTTTAACTCATCCGGCCGAATGAAGGTGTCATCGTCACTCCCATATTACAGATGAGGGAGCCGCGGCTCAGGGAGGGGAAGGGACTTGCCTGAGGCCACGTGGTTGGTTGGCGGATTTGAACCCAGGCCACCTGGCCACGGACATCCCCACCCCCCCCACCCCCCGCTGCTGGCTGCCACGTGGCCGTGTTTGCAGAGTCACAGCAACCTCAGGACTACTCTGGGGACATGGCAAGTGTGCCACCTTTTGGAAATTGACTTGCTTCCTAAGAGGCTGCAGGTAGCTCAGGGCTCAGGAGCAGAGTGGGAGGAAGGGCCATTACAACGTGAAGGAACGCTCACGTCGCTGTGTGACGGGCGTCACCTGGGCCCCCCACACTCTGGCCGGTCGGGGGGGTTCCTCCCTGCTGTCTTCTCCCAGGTGCCCGTGTGCCTGGTCGAAGATGCGGTCCCCGCTGGGTTCTAGGACACAGGCTTCTGGAGCCCCCACTGTGGGCCCCGGGCCCAGATCCAAGACCCGGGCCCAGCCGTGTGACATGTCGGTTCCCAGTGACCCTGCCGCTCCGTCCCTGCCCTTTCTGGGTTTGGCACCACCCCTCACCCAGGCGGTCGGTTGCTGTTTATCCCCATGAACGCATGCACACCTCTGTTCTTCCTTCAAAACTCAGCCTGCGTCTGCCTCCTGTTACCTTTCCAGAGAGAGGGCCTCGCACCCCGTCACACAGGACACGCACTGGGCATGCTGCGCTGCCTCAGTGCCCACGACCACTGCGGGCGGGGGCGGGTCTCACTTTCTGTGTCCTGCTCTGGTGCTTGATACAGAGTGGGTGCCCAGGAAGGGTCTGGGGAGCTGCCCTGTCCCCTCCCCACCCCACACCTAGCCCTTTTCTTGGCCTGCCTCGTGGATTCTCCCACCTTCAGACTCCACGGCTGACCCTTTCTTGCTTCGAGGTGTGGCCAGGACAAGGGCGGGCTGAGGTGACCGTCCCAGTGGCACCTGCTCCCCTGCCTGGCGGAGCCAGTCCCCCGGAGGGGACCCGGCCCTGTCTTTCGCCCTTCTCGGAACCCGGAGATCAGAGGGACGTTCCTCCTGTGCCTCCGTCCCCCGTCTGTAAAATGGAGCTCGTCTCGTGTCTGCCTCACGCCGCGGTTGCGCGTGGTTGAAACATGAATGTCGCATGCCGTGTGCTCGGTGCTCGGCTCACAGGAGGTGCTCAGTGGAATGAATGGCAGTCATGATGATGGTTTGCGCCGCCCCCCCCGGGTTTCTGGCCCCCAGCCACACTCTGAGTCTGCTGGTCTCCGGGTTTTGGCTCTGCGTGAAGGGGGCCGAGAGCATGGCTCTGTTGGGTGGGCCGGGCCCAGGGCTCTAGGCGGAGCTAGTTCTAGGTGCCAGCTTGAGCCCACCCACATACTCACTCTCTGTCGCTGGGGGCTGGGCGAGGGCGAGTGAGCTGGCCCTCTGCACCCCTTCTCTGTGTGTGACACCAGGAGCCTGGGCCTCGAGTTCCGTTGTCAGCCCAGCTCCCCGGGGCTCTCTCCGGGCCTCTCGCGTTGAGTGGGTGTGGATTTGGGGGCTGTTGGGGGATGGTTTCATCTGATGATGACTCGCTTGGCCTGTCCTCCCGGCCCACTCTAAAGATCGAATGGTCTCCCCAGTTTGGCTGAGTCAGGAGCACCCAGCCTTTCCAGAGTCACAGGAGGTTCTTACGTCTCCCGCGGGGCACTGTGGGTACCCCAATTTCTAGTGCATGCAGTGGCCCGGGTTCAGCTAACACCCTGCTCAGGCCCCTTCCACAGCTCTGTCCACCCTCCCTCCGCCGCCTGCCACCACCCTCTTCAGAGCAGACTCTGGTGGTCCCAGGTGGGGGCTGGCGGGGCCTGGCAGAGGCACAATGCTCGTCTTCATGGCCCGGGGCCCAGAGGTCCAGCCTGTTGTATTCTTGGCCACCAAACCCTTTCTGCTACATGTCTCTGTTTTCCTAATAAGTCCTGGGTTGTGAGTGGGGAGGGAGGCGGCGGGGTGGGGGTGGGGGGGCCAGGGCAGCTCAGAAACAGTCACGTGATTGTGAAACCCTAGAAAGGGCATCTCTGAGCGGCTCCGTCTCGCCCTCCCTGCTCCTCGGCAGCCCCCTCGCTGGCGGCACCAACTCTGAGGTCATCGCGGACACCCGGCCAGCCTCCAGGGCCCAGGAAGGCACGGCGGCTTGGCAGTGTGGGCTGGCTGGCCAGGAGCTGTGCTCACTCCACTGGACCCTGGGCGTCTGGCCTGGGGGTGTTGCAGGGACCGGCACCCCGGGGGAGGTGATTAGGCCTCTGGGTGTCTGTTCCAGCATGGGGGCCTCTTGCGGGGCTGCTGGCCTCCCACCACCCCCTGGGCTGGGGATCGGCGTGCTGGGTTGGGCAGCTGCCTGCCGTCCCCCGGGGCCTGTGTTTATAATCTGTCTGTTCTGTGTGTGTGCGTGTATGTGCGCGCGTGTGAGAGTGTCTGTTTAATCCCTCCTCTTCTCCATCACCCTGCAGAAGAAGGCGGAAGCTGCACATCGGATTCTGGAAGGCCTGGGGCCCCAGGTGGAGCTGGTGAGCCAGGGGACGGGGAGGGGGCTTTGGGAGGGGGTGGCTGGAGAGGTGGGCAGCAGGTGGCTATGGAAGGGGAGGAGGAAGTGTTCTGCTGCCAGGCCCTGCCCCGTCCTCGGAGGGGGCAGGAAACACACCCTTCGATAAGAGGGACTGGCAGAGAGAGAGCGGGTGGGTGGCCGGCCGGCCAAATGGGGGTCGGGGGGTGAGGGGCCTAATAAGAGGGACTGGCAGAGAGATAGCGGGTGGATGGCCTGCAAACGGGGGTGAGGGGGTGAGGGGCCTCCGTGCTCCCGCTCCACTCCCCAGCCCAGCCAGTCAGGCTCCAAGAGACACAGTCCAGCCCATTTGATCCCCCTCAGCATGTGGGCATCTGTCCTCCAGGCCAGATGACCTGAGTTCAACTCCTAGACCTGCCACTTTATAGCTGCGTGGCCCTGAGGAGGTCGCTAACCTCTCTGTGCTGAGTTTCTCATCTCTACAATGGAAATAACAGCACAGATCCCACTGGGGTCCGTCTTGAGTAATGAGTCCTGTCTGTAAAGCACTGAGCACAGCGTCTGAGGGCTAAGGAGTGCTGAGTGTTAGTCTGTTACTATTATTGTTATTATTATTATGACCGGCACCAGTGCCATTCGACTGATGGGAGGATGCCAGGGCCAGGCGCAGAGCCGAGCGGCAGCGTGTATGGATGCTGCTCAGCCATACACGCATGCGGGTGGGTGTGGGGTCCCTGTGCCCGAGGCAGCTCTGGGCCGTGTGTCCATGCTCGTGGGGCGGGAATAAAGCTTTACATATTCAGAGCCCGATTTTCAACTCCGCCCCCCACGTGTCTGCTGAGTGGCCTGTGGAAGGGACTCGGTTTTCTCATCCGTGCAGTGGGGACTTGGGGATCTTTACGAGGCTTAGCTGCAACGGTGCCCAGTGACGCCCCCCGCCCCGCCCCCCAGCACTGCATGTGGCCCACAGCAAGTGCTCAGCCGGGGCACACACTTCAGGGGGGTGAACTGTTTGTCCCCGGGTTTTTTCTGCAGTGACAGTTGCTCCCCAGCCCAGGGTCTGTCTGCTAAGGGCACTGAGGAGCAGCGAGCATCTGGCCTTTATGGTCCCCACGTCCTCTCAGAGGACATTGCCAGATGGGTGGTGGGGGCCCCTCCGGTTCAGGGGCAGGGCCCAGCACCCCTCCTGGGACCGGTAACAGGCTCCCAGCCCTGAGGGCATGATCTCTGCAATGTCCCAAGTAGCCTCTTTTTTTTTTTTTTTTTTAGTAGCTTCATTGAGATGTAATTTCACGTCACACAATTCACCCATTTAAAGTATACAATTCAGTGATTTTTAACATAGTCACAGATGTGTGCAGCCATCTCCGCAGTGATTTTTAGAACAGTTCACCATTTCAGAAGAACTCTATCCCCTTAGTTGTCACCCCGTATCTTTCCATCCCCCCACCCCTCCCCACAGCCCCCACGCTGCCCTGAGCTGCCCCGATCACTCGCTGTCTCTATGGATTTGTCTGTTCTGGACGCTGGAGCCGTACAGTATGAGGTCCTCTGTGACTGGCTTCTCTCGGCGTCCTGTTTTGAGGTTCACCCATCGCGTAGTCTGTCTGCTTCATTTTTTTATGGGATGGGCCACATTTTGTTTATCCACCCATTCGCTGATGGGCATTAGATCGTCTCTGCTTTGGGCCACGATAAAGTGGCCGCCAACGTGCAGGTAGCCGGTGTCCGTGTGGACACGCGTGCTCATGTCGTGGGCGTATCCTCGGGCCGGAGTCCCGGGATCGTGGCGACTCTGTGCTCAGCCCCTGGAGGACCGGCCAGACCGTTTCCCAAGGTTGTGGCACCATTGTTTGGTCCCACCAGTAAGCCGCTTCCTGCCTCGGTTTCCCCTTCTTGCCAGTGGGGATGGCGGGACTGGAGGGGGTACCCGGCCACTTCTAGACCTGGAGGCTCTGCCTCTCCCCTTTCCTGGCCTGATCGATTATCCCCAGGGCCTCCCGCGCGGGGTCGTGAATGGGGTCGCTGGGTCTGGGGACCGAGCAATGCCAGAGAGGGGAGCAGGGACAGCATCTCCCTGTGATCTGGGCAGGTCTGCTGGACTCAGAATTCGAGTGCTTCTTTTCTAGGTCTTAAGGGCTGAGGGGATCATCACTTGCTTGAGGGTTCCCGGAGCAGAGGCTCCTTCAAGGCTGGTGGCACAAGAGGCCAAGGTCTGGAGTGTCTGCTGGGCCGTGTGGCTGTCACTGACGTCCTCTCGAAGTCAGTAGGTTCTTGGCTTGATGGCCTTCGGCAGGGTTGAAGAGGAGAGGAGACTCTCACGGACAGGCACTTACTGTGTGTCGGGCCTCATGGACACGTTGCTGTCCCTTTTCTAGATGAGGTGCACAGAGGGCAGTGCCTGGCCCAGGGTCACGCAGCAGGAGATGAGCAGCTCTGCCCAGTCTGTCCTCTGTCTGAGCGCTGCAAAGCTCGAGTGGCCAGAGGTGTCTTCCAGGTGGAGGCAGGTCAGAGGTGCCCCTTCTGCAAGGGCCACTGTGTGCCACTCAGGAGTGAGAGCTCAGGCCGGGAGTGTCTGCACCCCTGGGAGTCTGGTTCCCCGCTGATTTCCAGCTGCAGCTGAGGGAGCAGCCCCCGACTCAGGGACCGTGCGGGGTGCTCTGTGACCTCTCTGGGAGGCATGCCCGGGCCCCAGAGAAATTTGCACGTGGCACCACCCCTTCATCCCAGAAGCGTGGAGACCAAGGACCGGCCTGGAGCCGGGGGCTGTGGGGGGCGGGCCTGGGCAGCAGCGCCCCCCCCTCTGTCCCCCGTGGCTTTGAGTCATTGGTTTCCTTCCTGTTCAGAGGTGTTATTTTAAGAACATGGTGTCACCAGAGGGTTGATGGCCAGGCTGACACCTCATCTCTTAGCAACTGAGGTTGCTGGCTCTCTCGGCGACCCCACCGGCATGCCGAAGCCGGGCCCGGAGGGGACCCCCCTCTTTCTCCCTGAGACCCAGCTCTTCCTTCTTAGTGATGACAAGATGCCTCGTTCTGCCCAGGGTGTTCCAGCTGTGCCTGCAGCCATGCCCGCCCTCCCCCTTCGCGCCCCTCCTGGCCTCCACTGTGCCCCTGTTTCTAGAGGAGGAAATGGAGGTGTGGGGAGGTCGAGCAACAGGCCCGGGGCCCAGCCAGGAGGGGGCCTGCCCTCGCTGTACCCCAGCCCCCCCAGCCTCCCTTCCCCAGGGTCTGTGGGAGGGGCTTCCCTTCAGGTGTGGTGTCCCCCCTGCTGCACCTGTGAGGGCTAAGGTCGCCTCATGGCCACCAAACTGGGACTTGGCTCCCGAGACGGAAGGAAGTCTCACCTGGCCTTGCACAGCCCCCTCTGCAGGTGGCAAGGAGGTGTTTAGGGGAGACTCCCTCGGGCCTTTCCCCTGGGACAGGGCAGGATGAGGCTCGCGGCCATGCTGTTCGTGGGTGGTATTATGAGGAGGCCTATGGGTGTCAGGAGATGTGTCCAGCTCCGTCCCCAGAAAGAAGTTCTCGGGTGGAGCCTCAGGCACCCTCTGCCTCTCATCCTGGGGCCCTGCCTGAGGCTTCAGGACTCCCCCTCTCTGTCCTTGCCCGGTCCCTGTCCCGCTTGACCCCTCGCCCTCTCCCTGGTTCTGGCAGTCATCCGTGGCCGCCCCGAGGCACCTGCTGCATGTGTGGGCCTGTGAGAGAGGTGAAGGGGGTGACAGACACACGGAGGCAGGCGCCAGCAGAGGGAGCAGACCCCTCCCTCCTGGGCTGCAGCTGAGAGTCTGGATTCTAGTTCCCACTCGTCCCTTATCAGCTATGGGCAAGCATTTTAACCTCTCAGGGACTTGACTTCCCCACCTGTAAAATGGGGGTGACAGTCGGTTCACTTGGCTACTGCCGTGTAACAAACCGACCCCAAACGTAATGGCTTGCGACAATCACCATTGACCGTTCCCCACGAGTGTAGACGTCACCTGAGCATTTCTGCTGATCTGGACTCAGCTCACTCTCGTCTTGGGCAGCTGGGCCGGCGGCTGGTGGCTCCAGCTCCAGCTCCGCCTCGGCTGGGATGGCACTGCTGTGCTCCACGTTGTCTCTGCCTCCAGCAGGCCAACACGGGCTTGTTCTCTTGATAGGGCCAGGCTGACTAGAGAGGAAGCAGACGCGCAGGCACACCTTTCCTGTTGGCACCCAGCCCACTGGCCAAAGCGAGGGCGTGGGAGGCAGAAAGAATTGGCGCTATGAGTGTAGTCACTGCCCCCTGATGGCAGTGATGACGTGGACCCTTGGGCAGTCCTGCCAGGCTCTGGGCTAAGAGTCACACCCACTGCCTCATTTGGTCTTCACAGCAAACCCTGTGAGTCGAACCCCGTTTACAGCTGAAAACCGGGGTCTCAGATGGCTCGAGTAACTCTCCCTAGAGAGTGGTAGAACCGGATGTGAACCCAGGCTGTGCCCCTAGCTGGGGTGCTGCTGACCGGAAGTGGGGGACACACGACGTCCGGCTGAGCTCCAGGTGCACGGCGGAGCCTGGAACAGCCTGGCCGTGCGCGCCCGTTGCTGTGCGGGGCCCGTGGTCTCGTTCCTGGGTGTGGGCGCATCCCGGCTTCACAGCCGGCCGGCCGGGTGCGGGCACCTGGCTCGCTGACGTGTGGTCCGGGCATTCCCGCGTCCCAGCGGGCGTACCTAGGGCCCCAGCATTTGTGGGGCAGCCGCGTGCGACCCACATCCTTTTGCGTTGGCCGTGTGCCAGCCTCCCCGTCACCACACGTCCTCGCCAGTGCCCGGCGTTACTCTGCTTGTCTTCTGCTGGTTGGGGGTGACATGGCCTTCGGTGTTTTCATGTTCAAGACCAGTGCTGATCTCAGCTCCCTTGGGGCGTGTGTGCTCATCCCTCGTGCTCAGGCCAGCACTGCCCAGTGCCCTGCAGAGTAGCCACGACGGCCTAGGCGGGGGGGTCACAGTGCCACAGCCATGCCCAGGGGTTATGGTCTGTCTCTGGCTGGGCCGTAGGCTGGGTCCCCATGTCCTGTGTCATGCCTGCCGGTGGCTGGCTCTCACACCAGGGGACAGCTCCCCGGTGCCAGGGCCTCGGGTGCTGCGGCCGAGGCGGCCCCGGCCTGGAGCGAGGGCTCCTTGCTCTCTGCAGCGGGCAGGGGCCGGCCAGGCTCTGACATCCTCTCTCTCTCTCTCTCTCTCTCTCTCTCTCTTTCTCTCTCTCTGCAGCCATTGTACAACCAGCCGTCCGACACCAGGCAGTATCATGAGAACATCAAAATGTGAGTGCTGCACACAGCCATGCAGATGTGCGGGGCTTGGGGACAGGTGCTCGGCGTCGCGGGCCCGGGGTGGCATGTGCGTTCTCAGCCCCCTCGGGGCTGCCAGCCAGGGCCGGGCGCTGGAGGACAGGCCGAACGGGGCAGTTCAGGCGAGAGTTCTGGGCAAGCTGGGACCTAGGATGGGGTCAGAGCAGGCCTGGGACGGGCAGGGCAGGGCAGGGGCAGGGGGCGTGGCCCCATGAAGACCTCAGGTGGGGGAGACGGCCCTGGGGGGGACAGGCGGAGGGTCGGGGTCCCCGTCCTGCATTAGCTGCCGGGTGGAGGAGAGTGGGGTCAGGAAGAAGGGGGCGGCCCCAGCGAAAGCAGGGCCCACGGCTCGGGCTCTGGTGCGAGCGTGTTTGGGGGCGTCCTGCGGCCTGCACAGAGGGTCTGTCCGGTGTGATGCAGGCCAGTGATGAGCCTCTCCTGGGGGTTGGGGGATGCCGGGGGCGGGAAAACGTCAGTGAAGTGCCACATGCCCTTGGTGGGGGTCGAGCTGGCATAGTGGGGGCACCAGCACTGTGCTGGGGCTTGGTGGCTTCTGTCTTCAAGTTGGGAGCAAGGCGTCGGAGAGGCGGCCACCGGAAGGGGCCGGCCTTCTCTTGGGATGTGTGAATGGGAGCACAGCCTCCTCGGCCAGGGAGGGGATATCACCTCATCTTGTTGTCCAGGATCCCAAAGGTAAAAGGGACTCCAGGCCCCGCCTCCCGAGGGAAGTGGGAAGGAGAGCACCCCGGGGTATTAGGCAGGAGGCAGACCCTTTAGGGTCAAGGTCTGAACTGTCCGAGGCTCATCATTGTGAGAGCATGTAGGCTATTTTCTGTGACTTCAGAGGGCCGTGCTTAGCTGGTCCCCTCAAACTGGGCGTCCCGGGGGAGGAATTGCAGGGTGCGCCTGCAGTCGTGAGCTCCCCATCCCTGGAGGCGGGTAGGCCTCCTGATGGTTGCCAGGTGGCTGCTGGTGCTTGACTAGTTGTCGGGGAGCTCCCGTCTATTATAGTTTCTGGACTCGAGTGACTGGTCCAGGCTCTGGTGACCAACTCAGCCACCCCTCGCAGCTCCCAGTGACTGATGGAGCAGCCTAGAGAATCTCTGGTCGCCAAAGAGGCCCTTGGCCACTTTGGCCCGGGAGCACCTGCCACAGAGGCCTCACCCGCATCACCTGCGTCAGCCCACGGCTGGCAGGTGCTGCAGGGCGTCCTGCGCCAGGGACCCGGCTGCAGCACAGGGATTGTTGTATCCAGAATGGCCTGTGCTTTTGTCTAGTCTTGCAGGTGCGTTCGCTGCCCAGGTACCAAACCCCTCATGACTCAACACAGTTCATTTTCCAATTAGGCCACCTCAGCCCTTTCTAAGCTTCCTGGGACCTGCCTTGCCCTGGGGCCACTGCTGGGGGGTGGGGACCCCCAGGTGGAGAGCGGCAGGGTGTGTGTGTGTGTGTGTGTGTGTGTGTGTATGTGTGTGTGTGTGAGTGTGTGTGTGTATACCGTTAGGGCCTGTGGCAGATGGTTTAGGGGATCAGAGAGGGTGTTCTCGTCTGAGCAGGCTGCTGGGAGCATTCATTCATCATTCATTCATTCATTCAACACACATTCAGTGAACAGCTACTATGTGCCAAGCCCTGTTCTAGGACCTGGGGATTTAGCTGGGAACAAAACAAAGACCCACAGGGTCAAGTTTTGTTTAGCGGTAGAGACAAAACGAACGAGTTATATTAATGATAAAATATCAGCTAATAAAAAGTGCTAGAGTCTGTAGCTATCTCAAGCTTTTACACGTTGACATACCTAGTTGTAGTTTCCCTTTTGATACAATTTTTGATGGTAATAGCATTACACTAAAATTTTTACATAAGTTTTATCACTAAAAATAAGTAATATTTTAAGCTGAATAACATATATGCATTCGGGTTGTAAAAGCAGCATAGAAATCCAAACAGAAAAGGGAAAAGATATTCATACACATAACATCAGCAAGTAAGATACTGCTACGTGTCTGTTTAAGTAGAATGAAACCATAAGCTTACTGAAATCTGTACCCCAGTCTGCGTCAGAGAATGGTCGAGTGCATTTCGGCTTAGTAGATATCCGCCTCGTAAAGTTTGTTCTAAGTCTAAATCACACATGAACACGTTTAAGTTTAAACACATAGAGATGAAGAGTTTAAGATTTCTTACATAATAAGTGGTCTGTTTTATGTTAGAAAAATGTACCTGTCAGTAAATTATTTGAACTCGTATACCCTTAGAATTCTAACTTTTTAAAAATGGTTTTCCACTAAAGTCGTGATCACTTCTGTACTTTAAGATGGTCAATGGGATAATGGTAGAGAAAGTGAGGGGTGACTTTTGCCAGGGGCGGGTGTCAGGGCAGGACCTGACCGTGGAGCTGAGTGGCAGCCAGCCGTGAGGACCTCCTGGGCTACTGTAATGGGCATTGCAAAGGCCCTGGGGCTGGGGAGCTGGTGGGACCCCAGAGAAGGGCAGAGTGGCCCCAGGGGGAGTAGGGGGAAGGAGGCTGCCAGATCATCCGGCGCTGGCGAGGAGTGTGGGTTTCCTCATCTGTGCGATGGGCGGCCAGCGATGCGATTTATTCCTGGAAGCGATGCAATTGTTTTTTTGTTTGCAGAAGCTCGTGCTGTTGGTGGCTGCAGCCACCCAGGGCTGAGGCTGGGGGACCTTGCTGCAGGTTGCTGCAGCCACCCAGGCGAGCAGGGGCAGTGGACCCTGACCTTGCAGGAGTGGCCGGGCTGGGGCGTGGAGGGTCAGGGATGGCGGAGCCCATTGGGAGGCTGGGCGCCTGTGGGGTCGGATGGCATAGCCACTTCCGGAGAGGCAAGCTGACAGTGCAGGGGTAGGCTGAGGACCACAGGCATTTGCGGCTGGTCAGTCACTCTCAGGGCCTCTGGGATGGGGACGGTTTAGCGCCTGCCTCCCAGGGTTGCCGAGGGTTCAGTGCGCTACTGTCCCTGAGGTGCCGAGCCCAGTGTCAGACAGGTAGGAAGGATTCTGTGGTTTCTGCTCGCGCTTTGTCTGCAGAGTCCCCAAGAGCTACTTACTTGTTCGGCAAATGTTTACCGAGCACCTGCTGTGTGACAGCGGCGGGCAGCAGCACCCTGACACCCTGGCGCCGCGGGCAGGTAATGACACGGCCGCGAGACAGCGCCGCCGTGCTAAGGGCGGCGAGAGAATCAGGCCGGGGAGGTGCGGGGTGGCGCCGTCACCGGCTCAGCCTGGCCCGCTCCGTCCCCCTGGCCCGGGGCCCCTCCCTCCTGCTGCTGTAATTGCTGCCAGGTGGGAGGCGATCCCTTCCCCAAGGACCTTGCCCTGTCACTTTAATTTCTCAGTGCCTGCTCGCTGGGGGCGCAGAGTTATAGTTAATTTCACGCTTGACTTCCTGCTGCACTGGCAATTTCGGACGTGCTGAAGTCACCTGGACCCACCTCTGCTGCTCTCCCCGGGGCGCCTGCCTCCTTGGGAGGTGTGGGGTGACCGACTGCCCGTTCCCCGCAGCAGGGACTTGCTGTGGGATCTTAGCCCCAGGCCTCAGGAGCGACCCCTCAGACCTCTTAGGCCAGGGTGGGTGAGGAGGGGCCAGAGGTGCCCTCCCCCAGCAGTGTGAGTGGGTGCTCTGTCGAGGGAGGGGCCCCCTAGTGCGGGACCTGCCTGGAGCGCTCCCTGCTGGACTCGCTGGCTTCGCAAAGCCCCTTGTGACTCAGGAAAAGGGTGTGGATGGTGCACGGGCCACAGTTACCGCTCCTGTGGGCCGAGCTGTGGCCTTGCTTGCCACGCCCCCGTCTGGTGCCCTGTTCCTCTGGCCCCCTCATCCCCTCGGGGCCTGGAAAGCCGCTGGTTCCAGCCTGCCCTTCCCTGCGGCCTGATCTCCTCCCCACTGCCTTGTGCGGGGTCGGCGGGCGAGAGCCGTCAGCCCAGGGCCTGGGCGAATGGGGAAGACGCTTGGGACCCAGGTTACCGTTAAGCCTGTGGTCTTGTCTTGCTCTGGAGGTGGAGAGATGTTAAGTAACCTCCCCAGAGTCACGCAGCTGAACTCCTAGGCCGGCCCCCACCTGCACGGCCACTCCGTGTCTGCGCCTGCATCTCCAGCCAAGGGCTGCCCCTTGCTAGCCCTGTGACCTTGGCAAGTCACTTCACTTTGCTTGTCAGTAAGTTGGTCCCTGGAGCATCTATTTCTCATGGGAAAGTGCTTAGCGCCCAGCCCAGTGAGCAGGCTTTTGAGCGTCAGGCACCCCAATCTGACGGGTTCCTCCCAAGGCCTTCGGCTCTGCACTGGCACCCCATCTGACGCCCCCAGCAGCCGAGGGGCCTGGCTCTCCCTGAAGGCCCCTCCTCGCCCCTGCAGATTCACTCGCCCCTCACTCACCCAGAACCCAGCGCTGTGTTTTCCCATCACATTCTTCCACTTTTCCCAAGCCTCAGCTCAAGCCTCTTCCCCCAGGAAGCCCCGCCCCGACCGCCCCAAGCTTGCTTTGTCCAGAACACCGTGGTCCTGTGCCAGTCCCCCTGGGGCCTGGCCGGCCTCCTGCGAGTGTCCGTTTCCCTGTTGCTGACCCCTGGTTCTCGCTTCTCCCCCCGAGTCTGGGTCGGGACGAGGTGCATGCTTCCTCAAGCTGTGCTTTCGAAACCCCGGCTTCTCCAGGGGACCTGAGCCCCGTAAACACCTCCACCGGCGAACTCCGTCTTACTGGTTTGTCAGCCGTTCCAGACCCTTCTCAGGGGCTGTGTTCCTGATTTTTGCTGGACAGAAACCTTAGTAGAAAAGGTTTGTCTGCAGTAGTCTATTTGCATCTTTAATACCAAAACACTTCTTGGTTCAAAATAAACACTCAAAAAAATCTTGGCTGGGAGGATGTTGAATAAGTGGGCACTTCAAGCCAGGCGTCTGGGGGATTGCACCCCCGGATGCGGGAAACTGGAGTGGGCGGGGTGGGGGGGAGGCTGCGAGGCAGTAGGGAGTGGTGGGGACTCTGGTGAGCTGCGACCTCATCGCATCGCCCTTCAAAAGGGGCCGTAGGCTTTGGAGTGTGGCCAGACGCTGCAGTCGCCAGAGAAGCTCTAAGTTCAGCTTTTTATGCAACAGCTTCTAGTGTCCAGTGCTGGCAACGGATCCAGGTTTGTAGAAAGCACCACTGGCCAAGCACGACACTCCCACGCGCTGGCCCTGGTGGGCGGCCTCTGCGCATTTGCAGCCTGTGGACGTTTGTCCCCTTTGGCCGTGAGTAGATGCCCCGGGTGCCAGGCACGGTGCTTGCCTTGGCGGAGAGCCCAGCCCTGCACGGGAGACGTCACACCCTCAGCAGTCAAGGTGGACACGGCAGCCGCACCGTCCTCTCTGCCCCCACGAGACTGTGTCCACGCCGAGCCCTTTGCGCCTCACGGCCACAGCTCCACTGTGGCTTGAGAACCGTTACACGCGGCACCCGTGTCCGGGGGCGGCCAGAGCAGACCGGGTGGCCAAAGGTGGCCACGGTTCATGCTCTCCGGTTCTGGAAACCGGAAGTCGGAAGTTGAGGTGTGGGCAGGGCCTCGGGGGGCCCCCTCCGTCCCCGTCCAGCTCCTGACGTTTGCTGGCCATCCTGGCCGATCCTCGGCTTGCAGACACTTCGCTCCAGCCCTCCCACCTTCACGCGACCTTCACACGGCCTCCTCGCTGTGTCTTTCGTGTCCTCCTGCCGTGTGTGCCTGTCCCCACATCCAAACGTCTCCTTTTTACGAGGACATCAGCCAGACGGAGTCGGGGCCACCGTAATGACCTCACATCCTCGGTTTGCAGACACGTCGCTCCAGCCCTCCCACCTTCACGCAACCTTCACACGGCCTCCTCGCTGTGTCTTTTTGTGTCCTCCCGTGTGTGCCTGTCCCCACGTTCAAACGTCTCCTTTCTACGAGGACACCAGCCAGACGGAGTCGGGGCCACCGTAATGACCTCATTCCACCTCGATGGCGCCTGTGAGGACCCAGTGTCCAAATCAGGTCATATTCGGAGGTGCTGGGGCTCAGGACTGCAACGTCTTTTCTGGGGTGGGAGACACATCGTAGCGAGCGCCAGGCCCCCTGCCAGCTCTCACGTGAATTACGCCCGAGCCCCCCGCGGCGTTTCCCTCTGTCGGTGCCGGGGACGGACGTCCACACACCCGTCACCGTCCGTGTGTGGCACACGCCCCGGAACTAACAAAGTGGCCGTGGCTCGGTGCTAACACTGTTGGCCAAACCACAGACTCTGCATTTTCCCAGTTCGTCCACCGATCTCTGTTTTCTGGTCTCGAATCGGATCCTGGGTCGCACATGGCCCTCCGTCCGTCCCACGTCTCCTCGGTCCCCGACCTGGGGCGGTTGCTCAGTCTCCCCGCGGTCTCCCCACCCTGACACTTTTGAGGCATGTGGGTCTGGGGTTCTGTAGACGGCCCCTCAGCCTGGGTCTGTCTGGTGTCTCCTCGTGAGGAGGCAGCTGTGGATTTGGGGAGGAGTCTGCAGTGTGAGAGAGGCCCCCGCCCTGTCCCGTCCCGTCCCCTCCGGGTCCCTGGCGCCCGCTGACCGGCGGTGTTCGCCTGGCTCCCTCACTCGGGGTGCTGTCGGCCGTGCTTCTCCCTGTCCAGTTGCTGTCTTTCCCTTCTGTCCCTGCCCTAGGAGCCAGTCGCCACGTCCAGCCTCCCACTGGGGGAGGGGAGCCCAGCCCCGCCTCCTGGGGGAGGGGTGTGGCGCCTCTGCGGTGGCCCGTTAAAGTCACCGCAGCGTGTGGGGCACGCGCCAGGCCGGCAAGTCCCCGTCTCTGCCACGCGTTTTGCCGGCTCCGCTGAGGTTCGTGCGGGGACCCGGCCGGCAGCGTGACCTCTGCGACGCGCCCGTGGCGACCTTCTCTGTCCCTCCGTCCTCCCTGGTGATTCGATAGAGTTCTGTGAGGGACGCTCGTCCCTTCTGTCTGTTTATTTGGTGGCTTATTTACATCACGTGGACTCGCGGATATTTATTTTATTTCCTGGGTTATGATCCAGTGGGATTTGCTCTGTCGCCCGAGTTGTTCCGGCTTCGGCAGTTGAAACGCTTTCAGGCGGGTCCCGTGTCCCTCGGACCGTTTTTCTTTCCAGCATTTTTTTCTTTCTTTCTTTCTTTTTTTTTTTTTTTTACTTAAAGATGTTCTGGGCGCACCCCGGGTGTCCCCGACCCCGGAAGCAGCCGTCCTCCGGGAGCGAGGCCCCCGTTGCTGCAGGGCGGTGTCGGCAGCGAGACCTGGCGCTCCCGGGCCTGGCCCTGGGCGTCTCCGCTTCTCGGCCTTCGCAGCCGGGACGTCGTTTTTTAAGTCCCGAGCCTTTGCCGTGTTGAAACGCAGATGGCCCGGCACGGCCGGCCCCGCCAGCCTGGCTCTTCGCCTCCGTCGCCCCCACCCTGTCCAGCCCCAAGGGCCTCCCTCTGTCCTTGGACGCTCGGGGCTTGTTCCTACCTCAGGGCCTGTGCAGAGCCGGCCGCTCGGGGCGCCCCTCCCGCGGGGGTCTTGCCACAGCTGAGTCCTTCTGGTGATCGAGATCTCGTCCCCGAGGGGCTTTTCTGAACCACTGAACCTAAAACAGGTCCCCTCTCCCCCCAGGCTCTACCCCGCCGCCCTATTTAAGTTCCTGATTCCAGGATTGTTTTGATGATCTTGCTTATTGTCAGGGTGTCACCTCCATGAGGGCCAGGGCCTTTGCCTGTCTTGTGGTGTCCCCAGTGCCTAGAACAGTGTCTGGCACCTTGTGGGTGCTCCGTAAACATTTGCTGAACGACTGAGGGGATGAATGTAGAATGCTCCCGTTTTTCCGATGGGGAAACCGAGGCTGAGAGAGACCTTCCGAGATTGGCTCAGAGGCCCCTTGTGGTTCTGGTCTCAGACTGTGTGAGTGAGGACCCCGGTGCCCACCCTGACGGGCAGGGGAGACCGGGGTGAGCAGCGAGGCCTCTAGGTGGGGAGACCCTGGCCGAGCAAGGCCAGGGTGACCCTAGGAGCCATCAGGGAGTGAGGTGTTTCTTTGTGGTAGGGGCGGGGAACGGACGGGGCTCTGAGCCCCACCGGGTCCAGTTGGGTTCCAGAGAGCGACCTCTGCCCACACGCTGACCGCGGCCTTTCCCCTCTGGTTAAGGAGGGGTGTGCAGGCTTGTTAGGGTTTGGGAGGTGGGACCAGGTCGTGACGCCGCCAGCTTCCTGCTGGACATCGGCGTGGGGCTGGGGGTTAGAGTCTGCGGCAGGCCCGGGGCAGCCGTCCAGCCTGGGGCGGAGGTGGGGTGTCCGGCCTGAGCGCGGCCGGGCCTGGCCGTGGGGCCTTCTGAGGCGGTGATGTCATGTGCCAGGGTGTGGGGCCGTGGGCGACTCTCCTTGGGGTCCCTGTGCCGTGTGGTTCCTGACCCTTCAGCCCCTGTGAGGCATGTGTTGGGGGAGCTTTGCTCGTCCGTCAGGGCCTGGGGTGTCTCTCCCCGCCCCTGCTCCCACCTTCGTCCTCTCCCGAGGTTGGGGTCCTCAGTGGCCCAGGGACATGATGCCTTCTGGGGGCTGGATAGGGCACGGCTCACTGTCGATGATATTTGTGGGGTTTGGACACTGCTGAGAAGTCGGGGAGCCCCTCCCAGAAAAGGCAGCGTTGGGCACGCCCGGGACTCAGCGACTCCAGGCTCTGAGGGCTCCCAGGCCTGACTGGCCCCACAGGCCCGGGGCGCCAGCGTGTTGGGGACAGGGGGTGGGGCGGGGCCGAGGGAGGCCTCAGGTCTGCAACTGGGGGCAGCTCTGCCACCCCTCTGCATCGGGCTCCCGTCTCTGGGTCTCCCCCCTCCCTCTGCCCCGTCTCCATCTCCTGTGTCTCTGTGGCCTGTTTTCCACGGCACGTGTGGCTCACGGGCAGGGAGAGCCTGTGTGCGTGTGGAGGTGATGGCCACCTCTAGAAGAGGGGAGCCCTGTGACTGTGGGGTGATGGCCGTCCTGGGCGGGGCAGAAAGCCAGGAACTTCTAGCCCTGCCCCCCTCGGCGGTCCCCCCCACCCTTCAGGACCCCTTTTCTGCAGACCCAGCTCAGTCTCAGGTGGGTGGGGAACTTCAGGGTCAGCAGAGAGGAAGATGCACGTCGGCCGTTGGGGGCTTGTGCCTGGGGCTGCGGGTATCTGAGCTCATGGACCAGTAAGGGGCCCCCGCAGGGCTGGCTCTCGCGGCCAGTTCTGTGGTACCGGCTGCCTGCACTGCTGACCGGGCCCTTGCTCTCCCCACCCGCAGAAACCAGGCGATGCGGAAAAAGCTAATCCTGTACTTCAAGAGGAGGAACCACGCTCGGAAACAATGGGTGAGTCACCCCGCACCCCCACCCCCAGGTCCTGGGCCCCGTCCAGGCCGCTCCGAGCCACACCTGCCGGGACCGCTCGGTTCTGCAGCTGTCCCTACCCTGAGTGTCCAAGCTGTGAAGAAAAGTGGGGGACAGGGCTCGGGCGCCCCGGGGGGCCTGGGCGTGGGCGTGGGCCGGGCTGGAAGGAATTCTGCCTCTCCCTTTGCAGGCTGCACAGGGAGAGGGCAGAGGCTGGCGGGGAGGTGGGTCCCCGTCCACGGGCGCTGGGCCTCCCAGGCGGAGGCGGGTTTGGCGTAGGGGCGGGGCGGGCTGCGAGCTGGTGGCGATGATGCAGGCGTCTCCGAGGAGCCAGGTTCAGGTTCTCCCGCGGGCAGCAGCCACGGCACGGCAGACGGGCCCGTGTGAGGGGACACGTGTGGCTGTGGTTTGGGGTGACCGTTCACGCCGTGGGGGGGTTGGACTCAGTGATGGAGGGGGCGTCACCTGCCAGTGGTCCCTCAGTCGTGAGGGTAAGAGGAGCTGGTTCGCATGGCCCTGAACAGTGAAAGAGTTCGTGTGGCTGAGACGCCCGCTGGCTGGAGCTCAGGAGCGGTTCGATCCAGTCCAACCTCGTTTCTGCGCAGTTTTCTTCCCAGCTCTGCACGTTAGCACGTCACCACCCTGGTCTTTTGGTGGGACCCGAATTCCTGCCGCAGGCCCAAGTCTTTGGGAGCCAGAAGCCGCCGACCCTCCGAGCATCTCACGAAAGCCCCTCGTGGACTCGTCACGGGCGTGGTCCCTCTGGACCGGCTTCCGAATGCACCTTGCTCTGGTCCCAGATGTCGGCTGGGCCCTTAGGGACAGGAGACACTTGTGGCCCAGAGGCTGGGCGGCCGAGAGGCTGAGTGGGTGGCACTCCGGACCCTAGGGCCCCGTGGGGTGACCAGAGAGAGGCATGGGGCCAGGTGGACGGCGTGCGTGAACCTGGGCGTCCGTCCCATTCACCGAGTGAAATGTTTACCGAGGACCCGCCATGGGTCAGGCACAGTGCTGAGCTGTGCTGAGCGGAGGAGGCACGGAAGGGCCGTGCGGAGGCGTGGGCTGGGGTTGGGACAGCCCGCGTGTCCCTGGGGTGGTGACCTCAAGACCGAGGTGTAAGTGGCAAGAAAGGACCAGCCGTGTGAGGGTCTGGAGGTCGGAGTGTCAGGCACAGGGCACAGCAAGTGCCAAGGCCCTGAGGCCTGTGGGCGACACAGGGTGGACTGCAGCGGGCAGGGCGTGAGTGGGGGGCTTCCGAGCGACCTGAAAACCTTGGGAGGCAGATCGCCTAGAAACGTTTCCCCTCTGGTGGGGTGGAGCGTCTAGACGTCACGATGCACAGTGGACACCTCATAAATGTATTCCCAGGAAGGAAGACAGTCGGACAGGAATTTGCCAGGAAACTGCGGACACCGCCGTCTGGAGCAGGAGGAGGGTCTGATTCGCATTTTAAAATGACTCCTGTGGAGTGGGGTAGGGTTGGGGTGGGTGTGAGTTCTTAAGAAATCCCACAAGGCTTCTTGGCAGACTCTGACGAGGGTGGAGAGGAGATCAGCTTATTCAGAGGGAGAGGACCTGGAGGCTTCTAAGAAATTCCTGGTGGCCCTGGTGAAAACGAATTCAGAAACCACGGAAGCCGTGGCAGGAAGGCGTTTGGAGTGATCTGGTTCTTGCTCTTACGTAAGGAGCCCAAAGTCCCTGGCAGCGTCATTATCAGCAAGGCCTGGGAGGGAGCCCGGCCAGCGTGGTCCCCAGGCCTCAGACCTGCCGCCTGCCATCCCAGCTGCCTTCTGTGGCCCGAGCTACAGGATGGACGGGGCGGACAGGACAGAGCAGGACAGACTCGTCACTCTCATTCACCACCGAGCATGCAGAGAGGAGGCCGAGCCCCCATTTGCAGGATAGCCAGTTGGGGGAGCATGTTCCTGGTCTTTGGCCCCCGCCCCGTGAGGCCCTGCCTTTGTGGGAGGCCACAGGCTCCGTGCGGGTCTGGAGGACCCTGGGTCGCCAGGTGGCCACGGAGGCCAGCTCCCCTGGCCAGCAGGTTCCGGCCACCTTTCTGATCCCTTGGCCTGAGGCTGCTTTCCCCAGTTTCCTGGGCACCCCATCTCATTGCACCCCTAAGCGCAAAGCTGCGTCACACTACGCCTGGCCTGGCAGCAGGGGTTCAAATCTTGGTCTTGCTAAGTGACCGGGTCAAATCATTGAACTTCTGGCCTCGATTTCCTCTTCCGGTCAGTGCTGATAATATTAACAGCCAGCTCATCAGGCCGCTGAGGGAGGAAGGCTGGTCAGGGTGGCGTCACGTCTGGCGTACAGCAGGTGCTCAGAACTGTCCGCTGCAGGCTGACCCTAAACCTTGTAAGGGATTTCAAGGGACCTTGAAGAGCCAAAACAGTTCTGAGAAAGAACAACCACGTTGGGGACTTTGCGATTTCAAACATGGCCCAGCGTGGTCCAGCCGGAAGGACAGACTGGGAGGACTGGGCTCGGAGCGAGAGCCCAGAAATAAGTCCTCATCTGCGGCCAGTCAGTTTTTGTCAAGAGGCCGAATTCATTCCCCGAAGAAGGATGGTCTCTTCAACAGACGGCACTGGGACACCCGGACATCCACACGAGAGACGGGGCTGGACCCCCAGCTCACAGCGTCAGCCCACGATGGAGCAGACCTACGCGCAAGAGCCGAGACCATGACGTTCCTAGGAAAAACCCGAGAGCATGAGTCTTCCCGGCCTCGGACTCAGCGGTGGGTTCTTGGGTGTGACGGCAAAGGCACACGTGTCACCAGGGGAAGAGATGCACCGGGCTCCGCCAGAATAGCTGTCCCCTCCGCCGTCCGGATCCCACCTGCCGCTGCCCGACTGGGCCGTCCGGGCCGAGGGCCCCGAGTTCCTGCCTGCACAGAGCGGGCAGTGGTCGTTGCCTGCGTGGGGTTTGGGTGAGCCGGGCCGTGGGAAGGGCTCTGCTCTGTGCCTGGCACGTGACACAGTAGCACTCGGCCAGGGTCAGTGCTGGTGATGGTGATGGTGATGGTGATGGTGATGGCTGAGGGCCTGGGGCTGATTTGCCTTCATTACATGCGCGAGCCGTGTCACGGGGGCACAGTGGCCTTGCCCCTGTCCCCCTGCGGATTGCCCGCGCCCTGCACACGGGCCTCGTTCTGCCCCAGCCTCTGGTGTGAGTGTGAGTGTGAGTGTGAGCGTGTGTGGATCTCTCTGTGTATGTGAGTGCACAGGTACGTGTGCGAGGATGCGTGTGTGTTCCTGAGTGTGTGATCTGCTTCCTGCTCCGGCCAGTGGAACCCCCTTGTGGAAACCCGCACTGAGCAGGGTCACCGGTGCCCCCGGGAAGGGCTGTAGCCACCGCAGTGGGTTGTCACACGGCGCCCAGTGGACTGACAGCACATCAGTGCAGTGGACACGGCGGGGGCGACAACAGGTGGCACAGTGGCCAGACGCGGTGGGTGACTTCCTTGCCCCGGACAGTCCTCAGGTGCTGCTTGGGGCTTTGCACATGTTGGGCACATGGCTGGATGTCCCCTTGGGGGCGTTCTTGCCATGTCTCTTTGCGCCAGCCAGTCCCACGAGGGCCGCAGACAGGCTGGCTCCTCCGGTCGCCACCCCGCCCGCCCCTCCCCCGCAGCTGCTCGCGGCCCCTGGGTCCCCTGCTTGTCCTCATTGTCCTCTGCCGGGTTTGGTGAACGTTTTCTCATCGTTCCTTGTCTGACTTCTCTCTCTCACCCGTTAGACTGAGGCCTCTCTAGGAGGTGCTGAGCAGGGCAGGAAGGGTCCCCGCTCTGATGGTGGCCTGGGCTGGCGTCCCTCATGTCAGTCCCCTCCCCGGTGGGCAGCTTTCTATGGCACCTTGGCACACACACGTGTGGCCATTGTCTGTTGCTGGAACTGTGTCTTGATCTCCAAGGGGTCTTGGAGCAGCCCACATATATGTGGGGCCTCCAGGAGCTGGGGTCAGGTTCGCCCCCATGGAAGCTAGCCTGACCATTCTTGGGGGCTGTCAGCTGCCGGCTTTGCCGAGGACCAAGGTCAGAGGCTGGAACACAGGATGGGGTGGGGTGTCTGGGCACGAGAGCCAGAAAGGGCTTTTCTGACTGTGCCAGTGTCAGGAAGGCATTCAAGCGAGACTCCCAGACCGTGCCATCTGTCCACTGCAGCTGTTAGGGATGGGGAGGTCGGCGTCTCATGGGCGGCCGGACGCTCCCCCCTGCCCGGCCCAGGTCACCTTGGAGACTTGGAAGCTAGGCAGTCGGGCGGGAGTCTCTCTCCCAAGGACATGGAGCAGGTGGCACTGCAGTTCAGCATGGAGCTGACTTCCTTATCGTGGACGGTGGCAGCTCAGGGCTCACGCCCAGCCCCTGGCCTGGGGAGCGCGGCCAAGCCCGAGGCTGGGGATGAGGAACTGGTTAGAAAGCGGATGCTTCCCAGGGGGGTGCCCAGAGCCACACTCTCCAACGTGGCTTCCCGTGATGATGGACATGGTCTCTGTGTGTGTGCGCTGTCCCCTGTGGACAGAGGTGTCGGCCACGTGTGGCTGCTGAGTGCTGAGAACATGGGTGGGAGACCAGGGGTCTTAATTTTACGTGATTCGAACTTAACAGCCACACATGGCTGGTGGTGTCTGTACCCAACCAGGCCTTTCTAGAAAGCCAGGTGGGGCGGCCGTTCCCCAGGGAGGAGGTGGCCAGGCCTGTGGGTCTTCTTCACGGGCCCAGGTCTGTGCGTGCCCATGTGCGTGTGCCTGTGCGTGTGCGTGCAGTCTGTGCCCGTGCCTGCCCACTGTCCATGCCCGTGCGTGTGCCTGTGCGCGTGCGTGCAGTCCGTGCCCACGTGTGCCTGCTGTCCGTGTGCGTGTGCATGTGCGCACGCGTGCAGATCGGGCAGGGAGCCTGGGGGCTGCGCGTCCGGATCCCAGCGACACCCTTCAGCGTGTCCGCACCCCGCTGTGCCCCCAGGAACAGAAGTTCTGCCAGCGCTATGACCAGCTCATGGAGGCCTGGGAGAAGAAGGTGGAGCGCATCGAGAACAACCCGCGGCGCCGGGCCAAGGAGAGCAAGGTGCGCGAGTACTACGAGAAGCAGTTCCCCGAGATCCGCAAGCAGCGGGAGCTGCAGGAGCGCATGCAGAGGTGAGCCGGGGCCCGGGGGCCACGCCGAGCCCTCGGACGTGCCACTCAGAGCCCGCCTGGCCTTCACACTCACGCGAGACTTAAATACGTCTCGGCGTGCAGGCTCCCTTTCCGGTGCGCCCTGGGCTGTGCCTGCCGGCTTCGTTCACCCGGCCGGCTGGCTGGCCCGGCCCCTGGAAGCCGCCGAGTTTGATCCCTAGTGTGGATGGGCGGGGCGAGGACCACCCGGCCTGCAGGCCAGGATCAGGACGCTGGTCTCACATGGCGGCAGTGAGGATTGAGCGAGATCCTGTGAAGTCGTGCCCGGCGCACAGCAGGCGCTCGGTGATGCGTGGCTGTGGTGGCTAGTGTCCTTTTCCGTTGGGTGGCGTTCCGTGAGGTGACGGGCCATGAGCGGTGATAATACACACCGCACCGTTCCCTGGACACTCAGTGTCTCGCTTGGAATGCCTCCTCTCTGCTCTGAGAGCTGCGCCACTGTATCTCCATGTTACAGAGGGAAACCGAGGCACAGGCCCACAGAGGCAGAACTGGGGTTTGGACGTGGATCTGTGTGGCTCGGCTTCATTGGAGAGAAAAGGGGGCCGAGCTCCGACAGCCTCTGGGTCAGGGCCGGGGGCCCCATGTCCTGCCCTGGACCCCTGGCTGGGGCTGTCCCTGCGGCCTGGGAACCCTGGCCCCTCCCTGCGGCCCACACGCCACATCTGGGGAAGTGGCGGCCTCAGGTCCGGGCCGTGGAGCCGGCCAGCATCCCTGGCTGCCAAAGGACCGGTCCCAGCTGTGTCCTTTTGGTTTCCAGCAGGGTGGGCCAGCGGGGCAGCGGGCTCTCCATGTCAGCCGCCCGCAGCGAGCACGAGGTGTCCGAGATCATCGACGGCCTCTCGGAGCAGGAGGTGAGTCCCCCGCCTTGAGGCCAGTTCGCCCTGGGTGGCGGACACCCAGGGTTTGTCACCAAGGTACAAGCAGAATGAACACAGATATCGAGGTGCTGGGTCATCGCCGTCACCTGTCCCCAGGCCTGGAGGACGAGCAGACAGAGGGCTGTTCCTGGGTCCACCCAGGGGGCTCCCGGGCAGGATGTGGTTCCGTTGGGGCACCCCAGTGCGGGGATGCTGGGGCGAGTCCCCCGCCTCGCGCTCCTCCCTCCTCCGCCTTCCTTCAGGGCCTGCGCTTGGCAGAGCCTAACGAAGCCGCTGGGCAGGGGCTGTGGTTTCTCAGTCAGCCCCGGGGCAGGGGGAGAATCCTAGCACGTCTGCTGTCCGCTGGGGATGCCTGGACCCCTGGAGTTCAGCCCGGATGACCCTGGCTGTGGTTACTGGAGCCCAGAGATGGCCAGGAATCAGAAAGAGAGAGGAGGTCTTTGTTCCTGGGGAAGGGCCGGTGTCGGCCTGTCCCTTCCTGGGTCTCGTGGATCAAGCATCAGTGTCCCCACCCCCCGCCACGTTCCCATCATGACAGCAGACACGAGGCAGCCTCAGAGAGGGAGGGAGGCACCTCTCCCACCCCGGGCCTTCTGTCCGGGTGGGCGTATTGTAGCTCCAGCTCAGTGCAGCAGGCGCTAGCCTGAATCGAAGTAACTAAAATGAAATAAAATTAAAAATCCAGTTCCTGACGTGGTTCCATAGTGGAGCGGTGAGCACGTCTGCTTTACACGCAGAAAGTCCTGGGTCCGTGCCCCAGTGGAGCCACAGCCCATAGTCTACGGCCACGTCCCCCTGAACGAGCCCGGTGTCTGATCTCGGAAGCTAAGCGGGGTCGGGCGTGGTGAGTACTTGGATGGGAGACCACCTAGGAAGACCAGGTGCTGTAGACATTAAAAAAGAAAAATCCAGTTCCTCAGTCACACCAGCCATGTTTCAAGGGCTCGGTCCCCACAGGTGGTCAGTGGTTCCTGTGCTGGACGAGCCACGCCCCCCTGAACAGGCTCGGTGTCTGATCTCGGAAGCTAAGCGGGGTCGGGCGTGGTGAGTACTTGGATGGGAGACCACCTAGGAAGACCAGGTGCTGTAGACATTAAAAAAGAAAAATCCAGTTCCTCAGTCACACCAGCCATGTTTCAAGGGCTCGGTCCCCACAGGTGGTCAGTGGTTCCTGTGCTGGACGCAGTGGGTAGAACATTCTATTGGATAATGCTACCTGGCTGCCAATTCTCCGGCACGACAGATGAAGGCCCTAGGGGATGGGGCATCTGGTGTAAATGGCATTTCCTAGGCCATCCCCAGAGGTTCTGACTGAGCTGGTCGATGGCCAAGCTCAGGGGTCTGTATTTTCCTCAAGTTAGCCATGTGGTTCTGGCACTGGTAACTCAGACTCTGGCCAGTAAAAAAGAACCTTTGTTTACAAACTTCGGGTGATCTGCCCTGTTGTGAGCAGCGCTCAGTGGACAGGAAGTAGAGCGTGGAGAGCCTCCGCCCACAGCCCCATCGCGGTGCTGCGGCCACAGGCGCGGCCCACGGCGCCACTCGTGGACTTCGTTTGCCGTGGAAGCAGGAGGAAGATGCCCTTCCCCGTGTGTGCCTGCTGGATGCAGGGCCTGGGGTTCGGGGGCTGATGCAGTGTCCACAGGTCCTGGCCACGTGAGAATGTGGCCACCGGCATCCTTGGGTGTGGAGGGACTCAGGCCTGACACCTCACCTGAGCAGCGCGGGCCGACCTGAGGTTCCCTGGGGGGTGGGGAGGAGGGGGCTGGGCAGAGGAGACTCGCTGCGCACCCTCCAGGGAGCTGCTGTCTACGGTCAGGGCACGGGGCCTGTGTGGGAGCGACAGACCCGCGGCCCGAGGTGGAGCAGGGTTTCCTGCGCTCTGCCATTGGTCGTTCCTCACAGCTGGGGACACGGGCGGCGGGGCGGGGAGGGTGGTCGGGGGCTGCCGCGCTGCTGGGGAGGCTCAGGCCTGCGTGGAGGCCCCTCTCGCCGCCAGCTCAGGGCTTCACCGCTGCCCCCACCCGCTACTCCTGTTGGGAGTCCCAGACGCGGATGGAGAGCTTGGGTAGGGGAGGCTGAGCGGGAAGTCCTTTGATCTAGCTGACCTTGGCCAGGTTGGGCCCTTGCCTGCCTCCAGAGATGGGAAATTAGTGGACGGGAATGGGCAGCTGCAGAGATTTGGGGAGGTGACCCCCTGAGTGGCAGCTCACAGCCCCTCATAGCCATCCTGACGCATGCGAGCCGCCCGCCCAGCTCCCTTACACGGCCTGGGCGGGCCTGGCCTGGGTGGGCACGCTTGGAGAAGCTGGGTGCCGGGCCAGCGGTGGGCTCTGGGGAGGAAATGGTTGTGTGGTCTGACCCGGCTCCCTTGGAGCAAGGTGGCCCCTCTCCCCACCCCACACGCCCTGCTGGTCTCCCGAGCCTGTGGCCCCGCTGCGGAGAACAGCTCCCCCGCAGTGTTCGGTGGAGCCTGCATTTCCAAGGGGAGGTTCATACTCACCCCCCCCACTGCCCCCCACAGCTGCCGCACCTGATTTACAGCCCTGCCCGCCGTGAACCTGTCTGGGGCTGCCTTTAACTCCGCCCCCCGCACGGGCCTGCGTCGTTCACGGCTTCTCTCTCTCCCACACTTGTTGGGAATGTCGCTTCTCTCCGCACGTCGCCTGGGTCCCCGGCGCTTGCAGGGGGGCGCCTCCCCTGGCCCCGCCCCCATCTCGCTCACCCTGACCTGCGCCCTGTGCCACCCCATCTCCCGCCAGAACCTGGAGAAGCAGATGCGCCAGCTGGCCGTGATCCCGCCGATGCTGTACGACGCCGACCAGCAGCGCATCAAGTTCATCAACATGAACGGGCTCATGGACGACCCCATGAAGGTGTACAAGGACCGCCAGGTCATGAACCTGTGGAGCGAGCAGGAGAAGGACACCTTCCGCGAGAAGTGAGTCCCCCCAGAGCTCCGCGCCCTCCCCGGTCCTGGCGCGTGACCGCCGACGGGGGCGCTGACAGCAGGACGTTAGACGTCCAAGATCAAGGTGTCGGCAGGTCGGGTCCCGCTGGAAGCTCCGAGCGAGGATCGGTTCCGTGTCTGTCCTGGCTTCTGGGGGCTCCCAGTCTTTGTAGCTGGGCCACTCCATCTCCACCTCCGTCCTCACATGCTCGCTTTCTCTCTCCCTCTCTCTCTCTCTCTCTCTCTCTTTCTTTCTTTTCTTTCTTTCTTTCTCCTGTGTCCCCTGAGTCTCTTCTTAGAGAGACGCCAGATTCAGGGCCCCCCCATTCCAGCGTGACCCTCCCCCTAACTCGTTACATCCGAACAAGGTCTCATTCTGAGGTTCTGGGTGCGCGTGAGTGTTGGGGATGCCGTTGAAGCGCAGAGGCAGCCGCACGCGAGACGGGGCAGTGTACGCCGCAGAGGCGCGAGGCAGGAGGACGGCCAGGGCCCGGCCGCGGCCTTGGGCAGGGATGGGTGGCTGGCCGATGGCCTCGTGGTTTTCATTTTACTTGGGAAGTGGCGATTCGTTGAGCACTGTGTCCCAGACGCTGCAGGTGTGTCCTGGGTTTTGTGCATTTTCCCCTCCCAGGCCGTCTTCGTTACAAAGGTGGGGAAACGGGCTCCGAGAGAGGTGACTCCGAGAGAGGTGACGGCCTTTAACAAAGGCCACGCAGCTTGCAGATGGCAGGGGCAGGGTCGCTCTCCCCTCGTTCCAGGGCAA